AGCCAGTGGCGGGGACCACGGCTAAGAGGAGACCAAATGCCTCGTTTGTGGGTTTGACCGTTTCTCCGCTCCAGCCCGTCGCTGCCCTGCGAGGGTGCCAGGGCCGAGTCAGCTCTCATCCAACTTCTACACAGAGGCCAGGAACCCAGATCTGTGTAGGAAATGCGCAGGCCATTTGAACCTTGCTTCAGGACACGGTAAGCACATCCGTAGGGCAGAGAGGGTGTATGAACAATCGGTTCGTTTCTTCTGTACTTCGCAGACACAGCACCTCCAGTCTCCAGTTCAGTTTCCTGAGTGCTTGACCACACAAAGGTGAGAAGGGAAAGGACGTCGAAGGCTGGATGTTCAGAGTCAGCTCGGACACTGTTTCTCGAAAGATAAAAACTTAGGAACCCATCCCTTCTCCTGGAGTAGTGGTTCTCAACTGTGGGGGATCCTGCCCCCAACCACAACCTGTAGAAGTATCTGGAGACATTGGCGGTTTCACAAATGGGCAGGCATTGCCAGTGGCATCTGGTGGGTAGAGCTCAGAGATGCTGCTGAAGACAGATACGGCCCCAAATGTCAGCAATGCCAAGCTGGAGATGCTCTGTAGGGGGCACAGTGGTTCTCAACCTCTGTTACATTCCAGAAACATTTGGTGTGGGGCAGGGGGAGGGTGCTTTCAAAAGATACAGATACCTGGGTCCTATCCCACAGTAAGGAAATCAGACTTTCTAAGGATGAGGCTCAGGCCTCATATTTTAAAAGCTCTCAAGTAATCCTAATAGGGAGGCAGGGATGACATCCATGACGGTCAACAACAAACTGCCTGCGTGCGTCCATAATGGGTCCCCCACCCTTCCCCTCCCCTCCACCCCTCCACAGAACTGGCTCCAGGCTCTTCTCAAATAGGTGCTCGACACATATCCATTGCCTGAATGGGGGGGGGGTTGTCTGAATGGGGGGGGGGGACATAGATTAGTCGTCTCTCATTAGTCGCCTACAACTGCTGTGCTGGACCTGTATTGACTTCCAACGTTCTACTGGTGGCTGATACAAGCCTTTTTGTTTGTTTGTTTTAGTTGATTATTCAGTACATCAAAAGGATACAACTTCCAGCAGTCAGTCAGCAGCATACCAACACACTTTCTGTTGGAATAATTACTTCTGAGAGTGAAAGGTACAGGAACAATCTGGGCAATATATCCATGCCAAAGGAAGCTTACAAAATTAACTCGCAATCTTTTTTGTCACCCCTCCCAGTCGTATGCAAGGAGACGAATTAGAAATTGTGCATTCAATGCGATCCTGGAAACTTTCATTGCTGTCACTCAAGGAGATAGGCAATAAGAAAATAAAATACAAAACCCAAGCCAGGGCGGCAAGGAAAGTCTAACATCAGCAAACCACTAATGCCAACCAGATTTCCCTACAATCAGAATTATGTGACTGGTGACGTATTCACATTTAATAGAGTTATGGGAAATTTTCACAGGTTCTGATGGAAGTTATAAGTGGGTGAGACATGAACAAGGACTGGAGCTTTAGTGTTAAAATCTGCATTGGCCAACCTACTGGCCTGCCAAATGCTATTCAAGGAAGTAGTATTCTCACCCACAGCTTCCTGGGGACAGCATGGGGCCTCCAGCCAGGTGTTCAGGAAGCCTGGGGCCTTTATCCAGAGTCATGGCTGGCACTGGAAATGCAAGGGTCCACAAGAAAACCCCAACCCCATCGCCGGACGCTGGAGCCCAGTGAAGGAGATGCGGAGTCAACAAGCTGTTCTTGGGGACTGGGGAGGGAGGGTCTGACCTTGCAGGACAGAGCAGGTGCCGGAGGACTCTGCAGGACGAAGTTCTAATGCAGCCCTGGAAGAAGTGATAAGCGGGGAGGAGGCTTCTCAGCTGCAGAAAAAGAACTACTGTGCATCTGAAGGGCTTAAGGGAAGACTCTCCTTGAGAAAAGGAGCAGCGTGTGCAAAGGCCCGGAGGTATAAAAGGAGCAGCTCGTGACAAGACCTGGAGGTAAGGGAGAGCTGGGTGTGTCAGAGGAACCCCATGAAGTTCAACATAGTAAGTCGTTCTTCAACAGGCGGGAGAAGTGGGGAGGTTGAGGCTGCAGAGGCAGCAGGGCCAGCCTGTGAAGGCAATGTCCTGACTATGGAGCGCATGAGTGAAGTCCTTTCAAGGAAGAAGAAGGTAAGCATCCTCAAGAGGTCAGTAGCAGAGTCAGAGGAAGACACTGGGTTTGGGGTCAGACCAATCCACATTCCAATGCCACCACCACCATGCTCTGCGCGAGCCGGGGCAAGTGACTAGTTTGTCATCGGGAGTGAAAATAACGCCTCCCTCCCCAGGTTGCCGGGAGGATCGACGGGAAAACGCACACAGGGCCGGGGGTGCAGGGGTAAGAATGGCTGCGCTCACACCTGGAAAGCTAGAGGACTCCAGCAGACGGTGAAGGAATAATAAGGAAACAGGGAAATTGGGAAGACGGATGAGGAAGGCTTCAGCTTGTGGAAGGGCTTTTTTGAGAGCTTGGAGGCAAGAATTGGGAACGAAGGAGGGAGCGAATGTACCAGGAATATAATCCACCATTTGGCATTTCCCCAAAATACTGCAGCAGAGATTTAGAAGATTGAAATTGCTTTCTGCTCATTTTTGGATGGTGGCCTGAGATTTCTTTGACTCCAGGCCAAGCCGTCACGGACCACGAGTGACATGTGGAAGGCCTGTTGCCTGGCCCACGCAGGCTCTTGAAAAAGTTTGCTGCTGTTGCGACCTCTACAGTTAGGGTTGTTTTTAAGGCTAGGTTGTCACAAGGACCCCTTTCCGGGATAGGCGTGGCCTCATCGACCTGTTGACAGCCAGGACATCCTGAGATCTGCCTCCATGGAGGAGAAATGTGACTCCCACCCGGTCCTGGGGCCCGGGGCTACCTCAGTCTCTGACTTGTAATCACGGGAGGAGAACCTCTCTGATTTGCCTGCACCCCAGCAGATGATAGGAGGCCTTAGGAGGCCTCCAGCAATGTGAGGAAAAGGCAGGTGTCTGGAGAAGGAACAGTCTATCCAGAGGGAATCAGAGAAGCTCACTATCCAATAACTGCATTCCACACATTCCTGTTTCAGCAGCTGCAAAGACTCACTGGCCGGTGAGGCTCTCATTCAGTAAGACTCGTACATGCAAGATCAAGGGATATGCAATTTTTAAGACAATTTTTTTTTTTTTTGGCTGTCAGAGAATGCTCTGGAATAGAGACCTGTTTGGTCTCAGGATACCAGCCTATACTGAATCAATTTAATTCCTAAAGCAGGACAAGAAGCAAAACTGATGTATATAACTTTTTGGCTATTAAGATGTTAATAAAATTGTTGTCATGAAAAAGAATAGCTTGTACTTTTATTTTAACCATTCACAAGGCCCCATCCCATTTTAAAATTCGTTTCCAGTCACATAAAGAAATTGCTTTATCATCTAATTAAAAAAAAAATCAGTTTCTCTCCACCACCACCACCACCATCCCCCCACCATCGGGATTTATTTTCTCAATAGAAAAATGTTAATAATTGGCCAGGAATCTAAATGTTAAAAGCAAAGAAAAATGAAATCTTTGGAGATGAAAATAAGTGATCGATTTCTCTTCCTTCAGAGAAATTGCTGCCTCTAAAAGATACAGAATGTGAGCAGGACAAGAAACAAATAATTCCAACTCTGAATTCCTCTAAGGCAGCCACCTAGCCTTTTTCTTATCTTTCCCTTCACCTATGCATTCCTGAACATTTACAGAGCACTCCTGGATGACAGCCCTCACTCGGGAAACTCACAGATCAGAGCAGACGACAAATACGTTTAGCAGATCACTGCAGTGAAATGAGAGAGAAGCCTTCAGGAGAGACAGATCAGAGAACCACAGACGCAAGAACATCAAAGCTAAAGAAGAGAAGGGATGTTTTCACAGAGAAGGGGGAATTCGAGTAGGGTACGGACAGTTGAGTAGGAGTTGTCCAAATGGGGAGAGAAGTGTGAAAAGGCATACACGTTGTGTGGGGGAAGCTGAATACCACAAACTAAAAGGAAACAGAGCTAGAGAGAATGGCTGAGAACAGACTTGCGCTGAAGGCACATACAAAGCCAGTTCAGTGCCTAGATCTTATCTCATAGGTGACAGGGTAGCATTAGACAGGGTCCTCTGCAGTGTTGCAGACATCATTTCGGCTGCAGTGTAGAAGATGGGCCAGAAGGGGGCCACCCTGAGCTGTGGGGACAGTTGGGCAACTGCCACACTGGTCCAAGGGAGAGACCAGGAGGGCTGGCACCAGGGCAGTGGTGATGTGGATGCAGAAGACAGGCAGTTGTATAAGCATGACTTGGTGACCAGTCAGTCCCTTAGCATCAGGTTTTCAAGCAGAGAACATGGAAAACGGCAGGCTGACAGCCAACTGGAAAATTCATACTGACAAGGGGGGAAACAAAAAAGTTGGGGGGGATGGATAAAAGTGGGAGGTATCTAGTTGAGAATAATAAGGCAAAGGAAACGGAAAAGGAAGAGGTTGAATTACTGTCAGATAGTCTCAGGTTTGGAAGAAGACTTCTCTGATAAATGGTATTCTAGCCTTCCTTTATATACTTCTGTTGATGGGGAGCTCATTACCGGTAGAGTCAGGCTATTCCACTGACACCCTTTGTGAGTGTCTTGAACCATAATCTTTTTCTCTGGCTCCATATGTACAGCTTCCTTTGAATTTTTTTTTTTTTTTAACTTTTGGTTGCTCCGTGACACTTTCTGGAAACCTACTTGATTTAGCAGGAAGGCCTGAAAGACCCGGCAGTCTACCCACTCTGCTGAGGATCCTCCACTGGACTGCGGTAGAGTCTGGGAAACAGTCACAGGGCAGGAACACAAAGTATAGAACACATGTGGTGGCCCACTGCTGCCCTTGACCGTGGGTTTTAAACTACTCTGTCTGCCCGCGTCCCCTGCCCCATCCCCTCCGGTCAGAAAATCACCAATACCGTGCTGTTGCAGCCAGCGAAGCAGGCAGACAGGTAGGTGATGCCATCTGCCCCACACACGGGAGTGAAGGAATCGGTTTGGCATTCACAATTTTTATTGCAGGGTGAGTAGGGGTCCAGGGCGACGCCAGGCGCTGAGCTGGAAAAGAACCAAAACATGGAATCCATCAAAGGAAGGTCAATTTCGATTGGATCGCTCCGCCCTCTGCTGTGATGAGTCACCTGGCACCCCTGCCTTCTCCTCCTCGGCTCTCCCCCCTCCCCGTCCCACAAGGACCGGCCTGGCGCCTCTGTTGAGAGATGCCGCGCACGCGCAGAAGCAACGGTGCCAGGCTGCGCGCTTCCTCTGCCCGGAGGCGGAAGAAGCCTCTTCTTATCCTTTGCACCAACGTGCCCTCTGGGCTCAGGTCCGGGCCACCTCCTCCAGGATGCTGCTCATGTTTGCTGCAGCTCAGCCCGTTCCTCCTTCCCTGACCCAGCAACTCCTCCTGGCAGAGCTGAACACAGACTTCTCGCTTCCTCGGGGCAGTCCTTGTCTCTGTTTTGTCCCTCCCCAGCAGGCAGTACGCCTCACGATGCTTAACAACACCTCAACTAGACTGGCTTCCATAACTATCGTCTGTGTGATTCAACTTCCTGAGAAAAAGAACACGAGTTATTTTAAATTTCCTTTTGTACCATTAAAGGCACAATTACCCAGGGCCTGAAAAACTGCAAAGAGGAAAAGGGCGGAGTGGGCGTTGTGAGCTCCGAAAGAGATGCAGGCTCTCCTTCCAGCCCCGTTATTTTCAGCTGAGCCTCCCAGGTTTCAAGAACGCTTCATAGTAATGATGATGACGGTGGTATCTGACAATTTACGTGGCAGGCACTATTCACGGTACCGCACGGATATTTCACTTATTCTCCGTGTAACCCCATGGGGTTGATAAGAGAGAAACTGAGGCAGAGCCAGGCTGAGTCGCCTGCCCAAACATACCCACCTTCTACATGGGAAAGGGGGAGGGGGTTCTGGAGCTCTACCAATCTGGGGAGAGTTAGCAGTTGGACTGTAGTCCCTGAGCTTTTTTTTTTTTTTCCTTTTTTTAATGAAGAAGAACTTCATTATCGTAAGACCCTATGCTTTGAACTGCGACAAGTTTACTACTTGAGAGCTGGCACAGTTTAAGGCTGGCAGTCTTTCTCTCCAAAAGCTGTTATTCATGGTATGCACAAACCAGAAGGTGCCACATTTGGGAGGGGTTGGAACCAGGGCTGGGGTGGGGGCAGAAGTGGCCACGGTGGTGGTAAAGGGGACAGAGGGGCACACAAATGCGTGGACTATGCATGAATATACAGACAGCTGCCTTCACCTGTGTTCCCACATTCAGCCTGCTTGGCCCTGCGGGTGCCTATACCTTCTAGATACAGGACAATAGGAGAAAGCCTGATGGCCTGCTTGGAGGAGGAGGAGACTGGTAGGAGGAGGAACTGGTATCCTGCAGGCCAACTCTGCTGCACCCTTGATGCTCCAGGCTGATCCCCAAGCAGCTTCCAAGTCTCACACAGAAAGGGGGACAACTGTGGATGCTGGACTCTTCCTAATTTCCTCTGGGGCAATTCTGGTTGGACTTGGGATAATAACTAGAAAAAAAAGTGTCCCATAAGAACTAACTTCCTTCACTTCTCCTTCTTTTATTCCCCACCTCCTTTGCCCTCCCATACTTATCAATACCTACTGTGGATGAGACCCTATAATTACTATGGGAGCCTAATGATAGCTCCTGATAATTTCAGGAATGGTTGTAATCTATTCTGTCTTTCCTTTTAGGCTGAAATTGTTAAAGTTTTTATTTATTTATTTACTTATTTATTTATTTACTTACTTATTTATTTATCTATCTGTCTATCTAGAGAGCAAGTGGGGAAGGGGTAGAGAAAGAGGGAGAGAGAGAAATCTCAAGCAGGCCCTGCGTTGATAACACAGAGCCTGACAAGGTACTCGAACCCACGAACAGTGAGATCATGACGTGAGCCGAAATGAAGACTTGGATGCTTAACTGACTGAGCCACCCAGGAGCCCCTAAGATGAATTTTCAAATAAAATTTCTCTGTGTTATCTTTAATTATTCCTAAGGTCAAATGATAAAAATGGTAATAGGAGTACTGTGGGGAGTGAATGTAGGACGATTTCCCCCCGTGTGTTCCCGGCTGTCCCAGGAGACAGCTGTTGAGTGGAATGGCCTTGCACCCTCTACCCATGAGGTCCACGTTGATTCTCCGGCACTGGGAGGAAGATACAGAGGCATCATCGAACCCTCCATTCATGGTCACCAGAGACAAAGCTGGTTACCCTACCATGGCATCCCCTGGGCAGGCAGGGGCGGAAAGAGACATTTGTGGGACTTACGTGTTTCCATAGGGAACAGTAACCCCAGCCACAGGGCCCGTGTCACAGCCCAGGAAGAGGAAGGAAACATAGCAAGCTGTGGACACCAGGTTGACGAGCATGGCCATCCGAATGGCCCCGAGGGCGGAAAGACTGAGCTTCTTTACCAGGAGACCACCCAAGAAGATCCCCAGACAGGCACATGGAATTGCAGTCATCCCTGGGAGAAAAACAGAGGAGCAGAAACTGTTAGCAGGGAAACCAGGACCAGTCAATACAACAGATGAGTGCCAGGCTGGGGGCTGAACCCTGTCCAACCTGAATTCCCAGGGATACCATGACTGCACCCCTTTCTCCATGCTGCCCTCCACCCCTAGGTCTCCACAAAGGGCCTTATTTCTGGCCTCAGGGAGCTCACAGAAAACTGGGGGAGACACACATGTACACACTCCGTTATTAGGGGTCCAAATACCTACACCTATCATGCTAAGCGAGGTACCCTCATGGGAAAGACACGGCTGGCATGGGAACAGCCAAGAGACAAAGACAGACAGACTTGGAACACATGTTTTAGGGACGTAAAGATCACGGAGCACTAATGTACTCTCTGTGCATTTTGAGATGACGTGGGAAAAGGGACTCAAGATCATTTGGGGGTTTTCTCTCTTTTTCTCATTACTCAAGGAGGGCTTCATGGAAAGGCCTGGCGGTGTGTAAACAAAGGTCCTAGGACTCACCGGCCCACGCAGGTGGCCTTTTAACCAGCTCCCAGACCTCTCCGGAAGTAGAATCAATAAATCGTTTTGTTAATTCTTGGTGAATAATTGGCATAAAATTTCCCCCCTCTCTTATAAACAGAGCTATCTGCAAGGCAACAGGACCATAAACCTGTTATTTCTGATTCTCAGAGACTCATGGAATTTTAGAAGGGCCGAAGGGTCCTAGAGTTCCAGTCTCCCGTTTGGTCTTTGCTTTGTTCTGATTTGCTTCATCTAAAACTCAGCTTTAAATTAGCCGTGTGTCATTTATTCACCATGTAGATAGTACATGGCCAATTTCCCAGGGCAGGCTGCCTCCTTCTTGCCAATCAACAGACCTCTAGGTCAATCGACTACACCAACCAGCTGGTATGTGCTAAAAGAATGCAAATTAATTTTAATATTAGGGTAAGAAAAACATAATCAGGAAGGCTGAGCTCTGCAAGAAAACAGCTCAAGTCACATTTAAATGAAACAAAGATCTCTGTGTTACCTGATGCTCTTGGAATATCTACTTGGTTTTCCCTTGTTCTTGGCGTAGAAATGACCTTCACGATCTAGCCCCCAAGTGCCTCTCTCTGCTCACCCCATGCCCACTGTTCCTCCTTTCCCTCCCCGGGACGGACCAAGCCCATTCAGGTCCCCCCAGGCTTTACACTTGCTGATCCCTCTCCTGGAACATTCTTGCACTATGTCTCCACTTGGCTGGCCCCGTATTCCTTTCAGAGATGCCTTCCCAGCTCACACCATCTAGAGTGGTCCTACACTCCACCCAGGGGCCTCCCTATCATTCCTCACCCCATTTTATTGTCTTCATGGCTCTCCCCACTGTCTGAAGCTGCCTCATCCCTTTTTAGTTCTCTTGTTTCTTGTTCACTCTCCCCCTCCCCAGACGAAGCTTCCCTGAGCCCAAGAACCTTCTCCATCCCGCTCAGTCCAGACGGTTCTGTGTGCCTCGCACAGAGCGGGCGCTGAGGCTCATTTTCAGGATGCATGGAAAGGTGAGCAGGTTGGATCTGTGTGAATGAACACTGGGAGGACATGCGCATGCCCAGAGAGCAGGCATGTGCTTTGTTTCATTTCCTAGCAGAGACCGCAGGGAGCATCACCTGGTGATGATGGTAACTATGGCAATAACAGGCTTTCGGCGCCTTTTCTCCCAGCCATCATCAGCCTTCTCTCTTCCTCCCTGATGTGTGTGCCGCCTTAGCATTCAGTTATCAGAACTTCCCCGAAACTATCCTCATTACGTTAACCTATGCAGATTGAGTCCTTTTTATCTTCACGCATAAATCCATGCCATCAGCGCCTTAATCATCTATGTAGCTCTTTTCGGGACTCTGTCCCATTTGTTGATGGCTTCAAGGCTGGCGCAGAGCCCAAGCAGTCATCCCTGGGCCCTATCCCCTGGGTCTGTAGGAACCAAGCACTTTCTGATGAGAGCCTTGCCTGGTGCTCCCAGTATTTCACTCTGTCCCCACCGCCCGCCCTCCAGGGTCCATGCTGATTAAAGTGAGGCCCCAAGCAGGACACAGGGAGAGGGCACACATGCTGCGTGGACTGTTGGACAGATGGACTGACAGATGGGCCAGCAGGTGGCCTCTCCGCAAGGTCCTCCCCTGCCAGGCCCTCTGACAGACAGAGTCACTGGGAAAGAAACAGGTGCAAGAAGGCGAGATTGTTGTTTTGACCTTCTGCCCTGAAGACTATTGATTTGTTTGTCAATAGAAACCTTAGGAGTCTATTCTGAAATAAAACACAGTCCCCGCGCTGAAGCAACCAAGCAAATGCAATCAGCACGTAAGAACAGCAGCACAGGAATGAGGAAGAAATGGAGAAACTGGCTGCCGGAGGGTGAAACCAGAGACACCCCAGGTTATAACGAAAAAGTTATGACTTTAATTATAAAAGAAACCCGCTTTACCTATCTCTGTCAGACAGGAACTAAAGGGCTGCCTGCATTTTGCTAATACTTCTTGGAAGTGACACTTAACACAGAAGTGGATGGTAAAGCATTATTAGTAAAAAAATAAAAAAGAAAGAAAAGAAACAAGAAAAAAAGAAAGAAAGAAGGCTTGTGCAACCCTAGCAGCTCCCAAGGAGACGTGCTATGACCCAGCTGCATTATCATAGTATGTTTTTAATTTTTTTTTTTTTAATTGAGATACATCATGTGCTGGGAAGTACACAAAGCTTACGGGAACAGCCAATCAATTCCTGCATCTGTATACACCCCTATAACCACGGCTCCAATCAAGCTTAGAACATTTCCAGCAGCCCAGGAAGGTTCCCTGGTGGCTGCCCTCCCCCTCCTCCTGGAAAGATAGTACCCATCATCAAGGCCTCCATCATTTTAATTAACTTCTCCTCTTTTGAACTCACATACACATGTACTCTTTTGTGCCTGACGTCTTTCAACTCTGTCAGATTCACCCACACGGAGACAGGTATGAAAAGGCTTCTTTTTCATGCTGTGTGAAGACTGCACGAGCATTCCATAATTTATTTACCCATTCTCCTGTCGACAGACATCTGGGCTGAATCCAGTTGGGGCTATTATGCACAAGGAGGCTCTGAACGCTGTCACATACGCATATCTAAACGAACGGATTTCAACATTCATTTCTGGTGGGAACATGCCCAGAAGTAGAACGGATGGATCCCAGCGTAAACACTGGCTTTCCCAGGCACTGCCCAGGAGCTGTCCCAAGCGCTCCCACCTTTGGGCACTGCTAACAGCCGCACGCGAGAGTTCCAGTTGCTCCACATCCTCATCAACACTCGGTGCTATCAGTCCGTGGTATCGCAGTGCAGTTATGTGTTTTCCTGATGACTCCTGACGGGTTAGCGGCTTTGCATTTGTTTATGGGCCATTATGCAAAGACACAGGAAGCGCTGAAGAAGACCATTCCCTTCAGCAGATGATCTGACGCCCCTACTTACCAGAGAAGGTCATTCGTGTGGCCGCAGATCTCTCTCAGATGCAGGGCTGTCCTAGCCGGATTCTCAGTGGCCACACTCATGCTTCTCTCCTCCGCACTTGTAGGACGGATGAGCCTTTCTGTCGAGGGCTGTCCGTCCACACCCCGCTCTTTCCCGCAAATCCCCTTGTGCTGGCTCTTTCCCCTACGCTTAGCAACCTGCTCACCTTTCCAACCTTTCCAGCAATGCAGCATCTCCACCGATCCCCTGGACCCCAACACACACGGCCCGCCTGCTGGGGCCACTCTGCTCTACACCTGAGCTTCGGGAAAGTGTCCTGCAGTCACAGATTACGCCGTCCCTCTGTGTGGGCTACTCTCCACACAGAGCACGGGCTCCCCGCTTCACCACTTCTCGGACACAGCTCTGACACAGGTGGAAGGGCGTCCTGGTTGTTGCAACTAATGGGAGGAAGCTAATGGCTCCCTTCTTGGAATCATCTCTTCCTGGACTATCATGCCCTGTGGGTTTCTCTCGAACTCCCCCACAGACGCCACTGTTTCCTCACGGTTGGTCTCTCACCCTTTTTCTCTAATTCTCCACCTTCTCATCACGTAACGTTCACTCCCGTGTCCTCCATCCGTACACCGATGCTCCCAAACCTCTCTGCCTCACCCGGGTCTCCTTCCGGATCCCCCGCTGAGTCCAGGAGGCCACGTGGATACACCACGGGCATCTCGCGCTCAGGAACTTCAAAAGCGATCTCATCGTCTTCCCCACGGATCTGATTCTTTGAGGTTTCCAGGTTTCACAAATGGTACCACCAGCTGTCCGAGCCAGACCCCTGGAGTCCTTAACTCTCCCGTCTCCCTGGTCAGTTGCGAGGAGGCCACTTTCCTAACTCCCCCTTAGTAATGCTCTTCCCCTGAGGGCAAATTGGTTTTCCTTACCATGCCAACTCCAAACAGTGGAACGGATGCCTGTAGACTACTACTGAGAAGGATGGGAAGGCCATGCTGGCTCTTGGGGAGAAGGAGTACCATGATCCATAAATTACGTCTGCCACGGGCAGGGGTCAGGAAAGGAATGCATGGCCTCCAACCTCTGTATTTGCTGACTGCGGGTTTCATGCTGCCAGAAATATTCTTACTTTTTTTACGTACCTGACCGAAGCCTGCTAGCCTTTCAGGGTACATCTTTATTCCCCTCTCCCTTCATTCCCTCATCTCCTCAATTCTGCAGTTCGCACCCATCTACTGATCTCCTGGCCTGTCACAAGGCTTCTTACATACAATTTATATTCTAGGTCTTTATCATATCCTTTTGGCAAATCTGACCCCAAGAACATACTTTGAAATGCCTTCTGCACACAGAGTCCATGAATACTGCTGCTAAAGGAACAGCAGAGCCTGGGCTCTTTCTCTGGGGGGCCTCGGTAGACCCCGAGAGTGTTACACGCAGGACGGCAGCCCTCTGCCCTCCCCGGGGGACGGAGAGGCGGACTCACCGAGCAGCTGGTTGGCAGAAGAGGTGGTAAGGTTAAACTGCTGCTCTAGGTACTTCCCCAAGAAGGCGGCAAAGCCAGCCACCACTGCAATCTCCATGCAGGCGGCCAGGATGATGCAGGTGAACACGGGGTTGGACAGCAGGTGCTTGGTGACCTTCGGGATCACTGCAGGGAGAGACAAGCAGAGAGCCACGGTCACACACTGCACTCCCAGGTCTTCTGCCCCCCTGGGTCCCTTCTTGACACGCTTTTGTATATCTCAGTAAACAGCCCGGGGTATCACCCAGTAGCTCAGGCTGAAACCTAGCGATGGGAAGTCACCCACAACTGTAAAGAGTCTGGCTTCAAAATACAGGCTGATATTTAGCCATTTAAACTGAGACTGAATGCAACGAGGGAAACGATATCACACCTTTTCTTGGTTTACTGGAAACGGTAAGATATTTTATAAGCAATGACAAATTACTTCCGTTTCCCTGCACTGCCAAAAAAAGAGTTTGGGGTTTGTTTCTCAAAGGAAAAAATAGAATTTAATTATAAATTATAAACTGCAAATGTTATAATTACATCAGTATATATAAGCATATTTATCAATAGACCTAGGATAAATATTTGTGACTATATATGTATGTTAAGAAAATATGTTCAATCATGGGGCGCCTGGGTGGCTCAGTTGGTTGAGTGTCCGACACTTGATTTTAGCTCAGGTCATGATCTCACAGTCATGAGATCAAGCCCTGCATCAGGCTCTGTGCTGAGCATGGAGCCTGCTTGGGATGCGCGCTCTCTCTCTCTCTCTCCCCTGCTCACTCTCTCTCTCAAAAACAAAATAATGCATACATACATACATACGTGTGTACACACACACGTATGTATATATTTTTCAACTTTGAGAAGTTTCAAGAAAGAAATGGAATTCTACGCATACACACACACACACACACACACACACACACACACACACATATACATACATACATATGCTGAGTCAAACCCCACCTCTTCCCAACACGTCTACAGCCAACTCCTTGGAAAAAGTTTCGATGAGTTCTCACATCGGGGAGTCCCAGAGCAACCCAACTAGGGTAGGGTCAAGACCAGTTGAGTCTTGACTTTTGATCTGAAATAATCATTCCCTAAACTGTGGCCAGTGGGATCAACTCAAATTACCATCCTGCTCAAAACTTCCCCTTAGCAATCGGATGACACTTCCTACCACACCCCTTTCTCCCTCCAGTCCAGCCTGCCTGCTCCCACTCTTTCCTATCCCAAGCAGGCCCTCCCCACCTAAGGCTGTGCACTAGGGGCTCCTCCCTCTCCGGAGATGCTCTGCCCCAGATCTTTGCTACATTTGTTCCTTCACCCTCAGGTGGTCTTTTCTCATCATCCAGTCCCACCCAGAAGAAGCTGCCTGCCCAGCCTGGTGCCCGGGGCTCAGGTGAGAACCGACAGCAGGCAAAAGCACTTGGTGACTTGTGCACCATATTAAGCACCACCAGAGTCAGAAGGCAGGTCTTACTGAGGTTATGCATTTCAATCTTATTTTATTATACTCTATATTTCTCAAAGCAGGTGGTTTCATAAACCACTTAAGATTCCGCACGTATATTGGTGCTTTAAAAAAATGTGCGATTTGTTGTTGTTCTTGTTGTGTTTTTAATTCTTTGAATGCAACCACATTATTTGGATCATTGCCAGCAAGTAGAATCCTTGATGTTTGGTGTTCCACCAGGTCCCCTCAACTATGGTACGATGACATTTCCTGGCGGTGCGCTAGGGGTCCCTGCAGGTGCGGGTATTAGGGGACAACCCGTCGCTTCAATACTTATGCTGTTATTTTAATGTGTCCTTACAAAAAAGTCAACTGAAATGTAACTGATATATCCAATGTGTGCTTTCATGGCTCTCATAGCTTAAAACGATGCCAGGTTAAAACAAGGAGATTTAAAGTTATTTAAAGATAAGCCTTAGGTAAATAATGGTACGGGTGGTCAGCAGATAACGGCGAAAAAAATTATAAAAGTGGTATGCCAGTGGAGTTAGGGAAACTCTGTTCTGTTGTGATAATAATATAGAATATTTGGCATGTGGTTCCACCTGTGTAAACAGAAAAGATAAAATTGAGTCCCAGATGAAGCAAGTATTATCCGAAGTCTCGGAAGAACCCACCAGCGTTCATGGTCACACAAAATAAACAGGTGAGCTGGGAGTCTACAATTGCATTCCAAGGTGATGAATTAGCCAGCTGTCCTAAAGAAGAGAGCTAATTACACAGACTCAATCTCATCTCCTAGGAGATGAAACCTCTAAATGGCCCAACTAATTAGAATAAAATAATAATAGGGGATACAGAAGTTTTTAATAATGTTAACAGACAAGCTCAATACATCAAAATGACAGAACAATGGGTCAGGAAATGGCAGATACGCACAGCTGAAAATTTATCATTTCCATGGAACAGACCAAGCTTCAAAAATGAAACCCCCAAGAGAAGGATTTAAAGATCCTTTGACATAATGAGAAGAACACTCTTATGGGAATGGAGTCAGACAAGTAGATGCTCAGAATCACTGTGGGCTGAGAAACTCTGTCCTACATCCCAACTAAAAAAATGACCAGAGCTGGTGGCCTCTTCTTTCCTGTAGTAGTTTCTCACAAAATTTACTAAAACCTTAGGAAGGCAACTGTTGGATGATGCAACCATGTACAAGAACGCGCACATGCGCGCACACACACCCCACACACTCAGAAACTTTAAATCTATAATATTCATTCATTTATACTTTTTTTTTTTTTGCAAACGCACTGACCTCTACATGTGTTTTGTTTGTTTTTGCAGGGTTTCAAGCATTTAAGATAATCTGACTTTTTTTAGGAACATCATTTCAAATAAATGATGCTAAAAGTGTCTAGTGTCTAAATCTGTGTTTAAACGTTGAGAAATTTTCCTTGGTTAAATACACATTATTTAAGAATCATACCAATATTTACAGGGATGTTGACTGTGCAAGATTTAAAAATGTGGACTGCTAAACAAATATGGAAGATGAATACATTGGGCGTAAACAGAGGGCAATGAGGTATCTGTCTTCATGTTCAAAAGCCCGTTGGATGTTAAGACTCCATCATCATAAATTACTGCTAATGAGTGAAGGCTGATTTGCTATTGTGTGTGGCACATTGTGATGGGGTAATGTGTCTGTGATGAGGGACTGGTTGGCTGTGTGGCACGGAACACCAACCTTCACACTGTAGAGAGACAGGTATGGATCCCATCTAGCGACCACAGTACCTCCCTGTAATGAGTGAATACGAAAGCCCCCAGATGGTTATGTTTGGCAGATAGAAACACCGTCTCGCGATCATTGCGTTCTTTTGTAATTAAGATGTCTAAACTCTGGAAACACTGCCAACAATCAATAGGCAGGTTGGGGACATTCCAGGAAAACAATCATCCCTTTCACTGCAGGCTTCATCTCCTTTGTTAGGGCGCAGACCATCCGCTGCTGAGCTGAAATCACCAGCATCCTCGAACTAGGAACTCTGTTCTCTGGCTCAGAAAGGACACCAAGGAGGATTTCATTTTGATCACATTATTTGGGTCTTGGTATCTCCTTGTCCTTGATCATGGCCATCACGATTTATTTGGGGAAAGGGGAGGGTACCTCTCGACAGAAGAAACTCCGGTTAATGGAATGTTTTCGTACTTCAGCGACCATTTTAATTATTCCAGAGATAATTCCACTTCAGTGGGGAAGATTCTTTGTTGAGATAGGAGAGCCTGCCTGCTTTTGTCTTAATACCTAATGACTAATTTCACATTGAATTAGATGTGAAAATTATTAAGTTTGAGGATCATCTGACAGAAGGCCCAGGGAAAACTCAGTGGATCTTATTTGCATGAAGAACATTCTCCTTCTTTTTTTTTTTTTCCTCTACCAAGCCGATTCACTGCCAGAAATGACAGATGCCTTGTGTTCAGCTATTTTGCTCCCAGGTTCTTCTCTCCATCCTAGGTTTTATTGCAATGACTTGTAACTCTCTCAAAAGATTCCTTTTCAAAGGTTCAGCCTACCCTCCAAAGCCCCAATTTGAAAAAGAGTATTAATTAGCTTGATCCTAGGGCCATCCCAGTATTTCAAGCCTTCTTCATTCAAATGGGTTGCTAAACCCATAAAATTCTAACCTTCCAAGGAGGCCGTAGCTAATGAGGTGGCCCAGACAAATAGAAACTAATGAACCAAGGCCACACCAGGCCACTGAACACCCCTGGTGCCCCTTAGCTCATTACTTCCCACCTGCTGATTTTAGCCTCCGAAGCTGGGAGCTGGGGTGGGAGGCAGCCCCACCAGCTGGGATAGACCTCACCTCTCCTCGGGAGCCAGATACCATCACCAGCAGGCTGGGACGGAGTTGAAAACAGCACTGGGGGGGAGTTCTCCAGGGAAGATGGGTTTTCCACTGCTGTTTTCTGAAGACACTCCTGTAGGATTGAGATTTCTTGAAAGCTTGCAGGTCCCTCCAGGAGGGAAAAAGGCAGGTTTGGAGAAGTTGTGCGGACGGACGCCGACAGAGCATCGCGAGGGCGCCAAGCACCGTTCTAACCACTCCCACATCAAATCACATAATCCTCACAGCACACCTGTGATCCTGGGGCAAGGTACAGCCCCCACTTACAGATAAGGAAACCGAGGCAGGGAGTGGTTCCCAGGGTTAGGGAAGCACGGCAGAAACTCCAACCCTGGCACCGGCTGCCACGGAACGTGCTCTTAACAGGGCGCTATTCCGGTTCCGGTTTGCAGAAGCGCTGCTCTTGGCTGGAGGACTGAGCACGCAGACCCCGCCCCCCGGTGATCGACGGTGCAGCTTAACGCTTAGAAATAATAATACAACTCCTATGGGAGCTGGGGAAAACGACTCAGGGGCTTAGTCTATGAGGTGTTTTTTTTTTTTTTTTTTTTTTTTTTTTTTTTTTTTTTTCGGAGGAGGAGGACAGGAAGGGAGGGAAAGAAATGAGAGAAAGAAAGGCTTGCAGAGTCCCGTAAGGAGCCAGGGTGCCGGGATCTGAATTCCATCTCTAAGACTGAGAAGGTCTATGCCCAGAGCATGCCACCCTGTCCCACGGATGGCTGCGGAGATTAAATGAGACCCGTGCGTGCAAGCAT